GAAAGGCTTTTCTGATGAAGGGTCTAGGCCCGAAACGTCAGCCTCTCTGCTCCTGTGATGCTGCTTGGCCTGCTGTGTTCATCCAGCCCTGCACCTTGTTGTCTCTTTTTTAAAAACCTGTTTGTTTGAAATTGAGCGAATCTTATGTTATCACACTGAAAAATTGATTTTGTTAAAAGTTGTTGGCCTTGTTCCTTGACATGTGTGTGTTTGCAGTAGTGTATCTAAGAGTATTATTCATTCGCAAAAACAAGTTATTTTGACACTAATTTGGTGTAAATGCTAGTTTGAATTGACTTTGTTCTTGCCATTTCTGTCAGCAGCCCAGTCCACAGGAGGTAAATCTTCTTATCACCTCAGGTATTATTGGATATGATTAAAAGACTCAATTTGTGGCTGCAGGAAATTTCATTGGCAATTGGAATCATTATACACATGTGGCTTTATAGGTGTGCTCAGATAATGGATATGTTTGTTTATTATGTAGGTGTAACCCTTAAGAAATGTGTTTGTGCAAGCAATAAATTAAATATTTTTAAAATGAGTCATGCCTTTGAGTTGTAAATGATATCTTTACCAAAAGCGTTGGAATTAATTTTAACTTGCCATACCTGATGCTGATGACAGAAGACTGTGGAATTGGAGCAGGGAATTTATTTTTTCTCTGCCTCATCCGGTCAAACTCTGGATTAAACATCAGGCTGTAAAGGTTTTGACACTTGTACCTTAAGTATATTGTCACAGGCTGTGGCAATGACTTTGCAGATTGATCTGTTATTTAACCTGATGCCTTGGTGGGGGCGCAGTTATGGTTAAAATCACAGCTCAAACCTAGCAGTATCAGGTGCCAGGGCCATAAATGATCCCTTTATTTATATTTGACAACTTAGGTTAAACTCCTGGACAGCAATACATAGTGAATCATCACGTGAGCAACGGTAGGTGGGCATGACTTTGTCCGAGACTGTTACATGCCACCTTTTGACTTCCTGACTAACTCCCTGAGTAATTTTCTATCAAGGAGAAAGGGTGATGTCTTCTAGCCAAAAACTCTGGGTTCAAGTCCCATCCTAAGACTTTGATATACCAAGGAAGGTGCACAGCCAGTAACACAATCAAGCAGGTTGGGTATCAATCTGCAAAACCTTTAAGTGCACACCACTGGGAAAATGGTGAGGGATTCCTGACCAACTATGTGAGGGAAAGAATGTTAGTGCCTCCATCATCACCATCCATAACTCCAGACACAACATGTGTGTGTAAAAATGCACATTGTCAAAGTAATGCATACTCTCTGGAGTGAATGATAACACATCACCACCAAGATTCCATCAAGGAAATCTTTTAATAGTTGTTTTGAAACTACCCATACTTTACTAAACCCCAAATGGAAGCCTTGGATCTCCCAATACATCCAGTTGCAAACAGAATCCCTTTCCTGGAGTGGCTATCTTGTGCTGGGGACTACTCCTGTAGATCCCTGGCAGCAGGGAGCAGTTGTCCAATGTCACTTCCCACTGACTTCTCTATCATTTTAATCAGGAGTTAAAACTAAATCACTAAATGTAGATTCTTCTTTTATGGACCTGCCTTTAATTGCAATGTTACATATGTTTAGAATGAATCATTAAAATAGCTCAATCAGAGCAAACTTTATCACTTTTTATCCCAACTCTTGTGGTTTTATCAACCTAGGTCAGCACAGAATGCACCATACTATTGTTCCTCATGTCTGGTTTTGGTTATCAATTACATTTAACTTTATTGCAATGTGTAAGGAACTTAGAAGCAAGGGTGCCCTAATCTGTTGCTTGTGCCTACTTGTCATTCAATTATATCATGCCTGATCTTTATTTTAACTCCATCTATCTGCCTTGATTTCATAACCTCTAATACCCTTGTCTCACAATCATCTAGCAATTTCAGTTTTTAGGTTTTTAATTGACCTAGTTGCAACAGTATTCTCATTTTCATAAGTAGTTTTTTGTGAAGAACTCCATTCTGACTTTTTCTCTAACAGTCTGCTCTCACTTAGACAAATACATGTGATTGACACGTACACTTAAATAGTAGTAATTATTTTAGTCTTAACTAGTTATGTTTCTCGAAGGTATATTGTGTAAGTAATTTAAGGTTTATTGTTCTTACAGACGTCTGGATGCAAATCTGATTTCAGACATTCCTCAGAACAGCTTTGAAGGATTGCACTCCCTGAGGCATCTTTGGCTTGATGATAATGCATTGACTCATATTCCTGTTCGAGCTCTCAACAACTTGCCATCCCTCCAGGCAATGACTCTAGCTCTCAACAAAATCGCACATATCCCTGATTATGCATTTGTCAACCTATCCAGCCTGGTGGTATTGTGAGTATTGCATTTTGTCTTATGACCAAAACAGCTACAAACAGTGAAATGGAAACACAAAGAACCAGAAGCACTCAGGAGACCTGGTAACACCTCTAGAGAGGAGAAACAGAGTTAAAATTTTACATTGATGACCCAGTCATAGATCTGAAATATTAACTTTATTTCTCTCTCTACAGATGCTGCCTGGCCAGAGTATTTCTAGCAGTTTCTGTCTTTATTATTTCCATTATTCACAATGTTTTGGCTTTGCATTAAATGTTAATTAGTTTTAGTGAAAGCTGTCTATTTATTTTTTAATTGGTTCCTCCCAATTTCCTTCCTCTTGCCTTCTCTTCATCTTAGATATTGAGAATAATTATGTCATAAGCCACAATCCAATTGCATTAGATCTGAGATAACAAGGTGTAGAGCTGGATGAACACAGCAGGCTACGCAGCATCAGAGGAGCAGGAAAGCTGACATTTCGGGTCTGGACCCTTCTTCAGAAATGGGGGAGGGGAAGGGGGTTCTGAAATAAATAGAGAGAGGGGGAGGTGATGATAGAAGGTGGATAAAGGAACAGATAGGTGGAGAGAAGAAGGACAGGTCAAGGAGGTGGGGATGAAGCCAGTAAAGGTGAGTGTAGGTAGGGAGTTGGGACGGGGGTTGGTCAGTGAGGAGGGAGGGGCGGGTAGGTGGGAGGGAAGACGGACAGGTCAAGGAGGCGGGGATGAGGCTAGTAGGTAGGAAGTAGGGGTGAGGGTTTGTCAGTGAGGTGGGAGGAGTGGATAGGTGGGAGAAAAGATGGACACTGTCATAAGCCACAATTCGACCCTGTCCGTCTTTTCTCCCACCTATCCGCTCCTCCCACCTCACTGACCAACTCCCACTTCCTACCTTCTAGCCTCCTTGACCTGTCCATCTTCCCTCCCATCTACCTGCCCCTCCCTCCTCACTGACCAACCCCCATCTCAACTCTCTATCTACACTCACCTTTACTGGCTTCACCCCTGCCTCCTTGACCTGTCTGTATTCTCTCCACCTATCTGCTCCTCTATCACCTTCTATCATCACCTCCTCCTCTATATATTTCAGAGCCCCCTTCCCCTCCCCCATTTCTGAAGAAGGGTCCAGACCTGAAACATCAGCTTTCCTGCTCCTCTGATGGTGCCTGGCCTGCCGAGTTCATCCAGCTCTACACCTTGTTATTTCAGACTCCAGCATTGGCAGTTCCTACTATCTCTACATTAGATCTGACATGTTTTCACTTTTTCTCAGAGGATCTAACTGCCATTCACCTACTGGTCAAGATGAACACTGTTAAAATTGTCAGGCCAAAGGCTGACTATTCTCTTGTGTAAGATAATGGTTCTGAAAGAGGAGTAATGTTGGAGACTACAGCTCCAACCAGTTTGATAATGGTCTTGGGTAGGGAAGCTGCATTGGTAATAAAATGGGCATGTGGAAATGAAAGATTCCATGATTTAATCTGAAGAAGCTCAAAAACTCTTGTTGTCCCGGTCAACATTTATCCCTCAGACAATATCCCTGAAACAGATGAACTGATCATTAATCTCATTGTTATTTGTGGAATGTTATGTTGTGTAGATTGGCTGCCATGGTTCTCAAAAGGCAGAATTTTATGCCTTCCCAGGGTTGGGTTGAGTGGAGTGTGTGTAGCATGGTGAAAATCCTTTCTGGCACCTACCAGCCCTCCCTCAATAATACCATAACATTGTGTGAGGTAGGTGAGTCACTGGGTGGCCACCCTGTACCTGAAGAACTGTGAGTCCTTAAGTGGCCAGCTCATGGTGGAAGAAGCCACAGTCAAGTTTGAAGTCCACTCAGCTGGACTGCTCAGGATACAGGAGGGAAAGAAGAGGGCTCCTCCTTTATGACTTCCCTAAGCCTAATGGACACCTATCCAGAAGGTCCTCACCAATGAACAAAGTGGGTCCAATATTGCAGCATGTGTCATGTCAATTAAGAACAAATTTCAGCCATTCAGGCTCTCTAACCTGCTCTGCTTTTCAATAAAATTATAGCTGATCTATTTGTGTTCTGAATTCTACATTCACATCTGTGCCCAATAACCTTTTGTTGCCCTGCCTAATAAAATCTATTTAACTTCATCTCGAAAATTCAAAAATCACAAAAAACTCTGAAAGAAACGTAATCACCTCATCTCTATCCAAAAGGGGTGACCCCTGTTTTCAAACAATGTCGCTTTCCCCAGTTATGTAACACTAACAAGAGGAAACATCCTTTCCACATCTATCTTGTCAAATCCATTCAGAATCTTGTAACTTCAATCAGATCACCCTTCACTCTTCTAAACTCCACTGGAGCCAAGGCGAGTCTGTCCAACTCTTCATCATAAGAGAACATGTGCATATCAGGTATTAATCTAGTAAACACCTCTGAACTACTTTCAAAGGATTTATATCCTTTCTTAAACAAGGAAACCAAAACTGCTCACAATATTCCACAATGTGGTCTTACCAACGCCCTATATAACCACAGCAGGACATATTTACTTTTATGCTAAATTCCTCTTGTAATAAATGATAGCTTCAATTAATTTCTTGAATACTTGTTGTGACTTGTACTAGAACACTTAAATCCCTCAACTCCTTGGAATCCTGAAGTCATTCTCTATTTAGGAATGCTCTGCTTCTATATTCTTTCTGCCAAACTGAATATTTCAAGTTTTCCTACATTGCACATCATCAGCCAGGTTTTTGCTCACTCAACCTATCGATATCCATCCACCCTCTTCACAACCTACTTTACGATTTATCTTAGTGTCATCTGCAAAATTAGCTCCCATGCTTTTGCTGCCCTCATGCAAGTCATTAATATAAATTGAACAACACTGACACCCTGGCACAAGCCCCTGCAGAACTTTTGCATCACATCCTGCCAATCAGACAAAGACTCACTTATGCATAAGCTCTTTGGCTAGCTGGCAGGAAACAATCTTCTATCCATGATAATAAATTACACCATGGATTTTTCATAATAAAATTTTATATCAAAACAAGTCAGTGCCTTCTGGAAATCCATGTAGAGACTCGTCTTTAGCCACTGTGTATGTTACTCCATTGAAGAACTCTAATAAATTGGTTAAACATGATTTCTCTTTCACAAAGCTGTTTCTATCTCTAAAGATGGTACCAGACTTGCTGATTTTCTGCAGCACTTTCTGTGCAAAAAAAAACAAAACAAAAGCATGCTGCTGATTATACAAATTAACCAGATATTCAAGGGTTAAAAGACACCCACATCTTTCTTTTCAACAGTCAGTAGAGGGAAGGAAACGGGGGTTTCAATTCTCTCTCATCTTTGTTCATAACAGACTTGAAAGTATGATACTCTGAGTCGGAAGTGAAAGTGCTGTGACTGAGCTAAAGCCAGCACATTCCATTCTTTGTGTCTTAGGCCTGCCCTAAGGTAACAATAAATTGACAGAATAATATATTTTTTCACATGCTGCAGAGAAGGAAAGGTTTCTCTTAACCTTTATGCATACATCTGAAAAAAAAAATGAATTGAAGAGAATATTTTAATAATTCAAATGTATAAAAAATAAATTTTGAACTTAAATGTAGAAGTAGCAACCAGCTGTAATTCCAATTGTCTAACCTAGGAGTAACATTCACTGGAACTCTTAGGTGTCAGTGTTAGCTTATTGATATTTTGAAATAACATTATTTTAATTTTTTTGTTTCTTAATTATTATGAAATTGTTGCCAGGTCCATTTAATGTACCATTGGCATGTAAACTCCTGTACTCATGAACATCTATGTTCACCACTGACTGTTCAGTCCGAACCAAAAGCCACATTTATCTGTGAAAGCTTCAGTAGAAGCAAAACATTACCACTAATGTGCTGATGCATAAAACACACTGTGTAACTGAGAATGATATTGGGATTTCTGCAGGCCTGATGGATTTTATGCAACTCTGTCCATACATTGCTTTTACAGTTTAAGTCTGCAAAGATTCGTAATCTATTTGTCAGTTGCTTGTACAGTGTAATGAATCCCCAGCTCAGAAATTTAACTTATCAATAAAAAAGTGAATTTTCTAGTTCATAATAATCAAATTTCTCCTGTGGTGATTTTACCAAAATGGATTTCGGTAATTTAAAGCAAGTTCTAAATGTTTAGAAAGTGATTTTGTTTTCCCAAACTTGATTCCAATAAACTGGCAGTCTAAGTCACAAAATGAAGTGGGAAATTGTAAATACAAAACTTGATAAAGGAAATGCTCCAGTGACAATTATGCGATAAAGTAACTTTGTTTTAACAGAGAATTTCATTTCCTGTAGATTTAACAACAAATAATAGCATCATAAATTTTAGCAATCCAACCTGTTGTGATGTGAACTTAACACTTTACTCATTTAGCCATCTGGTCCTTCAGTTTATCGAGAACTGAAACCTATCTATGTTCAAAGGATGAATACTTTATTAACAACAATGCAGCATGATAATTCAGTTACTAATACTCAACTGTCACAATGGCTGGCACCATAATCCGAGACATATATTAAGACATATAATTTAATTTTTCAGTTTGTCCAATGTATTCCTCTCAATTTGGAATCAGCACACATGAATTTCAACATTTATTCTAAGTCGATATGAGATTGTACTTCAAATTCTCCTTTGTTTCGTCTGTCAGTCAGATTCACTTTCCATCCAGCTAATTTCCTTCAGCTGGAGTGAAGGCAGAGGCTTGGGGAATGTTTTAGGGGAATGGAGGGGAGATGCAATCAGTACAGGTGTTGCTCTGTCCTGAAGCAAAGAGTTGTGCTCTCACTGTGTCTTCCTGCTTTTCAAGTGAAGCTCATCTGCTTTGATCAATGATGTGATAGGACATAGTATTAATCATAAATAATTACTTGGTGTTTCTTGCAAGATTAGCTGCATTTAATCATTAAAATTAAACTCATTGTTAATTGGCTTTGTTTTGGATTGTAACATTAAGAGAATGCAATGTCTGACTACAATAAAGTAGGGAGTTTCAGCATGCTGCTGGCAAATTACCAGAGTTAAATCTAAAGCTGGCAACAGGATTTCCTTGACTATACTCCCTCATAAAGACTGACACTTACTTGAAAAATTTACATTAGTTTCTAATCCAGACTTTCAGGGGAAAGGTACTATGTGGTATTGTATCATAGCTTTTCTGTTGTTTTCTCTTGTTGCTTTTTCAACATCCTGCAGTAAAGCCTTTGCCCAATTCATTTGTCACTGCAAGAGGCACTTTCTTCATTGTATGGTCAAGACTAATTTTACCATTGTGTAATGAACATCATTCAGGTGAATTTAGAATTATTTTTGGCCATCTGTGCAGTTTACTTGCAAAAAAATTCAGGACTATATTCATGCATTGGACATGTTAAAATTTAAAGGTTTATTTCAGGCAAATTATACAAAGGAAGTACTGATTGAAAAATTCAACTGCTTAGAACCTGATTCATTACGTAGTTTAACTGCTGTGATGTTCTTTACCATGGGTCTTTGTTCTGCCTCTAAACACCTCAATAAATAAAAACAGACAAGATTGTCAGTGATGGAAGATACTAATCAGCTAGATTTTTCAAATGTTCTTATACATCTCTGATTTGGAATAATGCCTTGATTCGATTGCCTATATTCAGTTATGATCAAGTGTTACAAAGGAGTGGTTAAATGAAATGAATCCCTGATATTCACTTTCTAGGCAACATGTAACAATTTATTTATCTAACTCTAACAGTGAACAAATTAACAGAACTACTAACAAACTGAACAATTCCCCCCTTAACTACTAACTATTCCTGAATAAAACAAATTTCTAATGTTATGCTGTTCCAATGAATATAGGTCCCAACTATATAAACCAAAGTAATACAAAAAAAATTAAAACTTAGTCTCTCAAAATTACAGCCAGGATCAGTCTTCTGGAATGTTCTTTGCCTTCTTCGCTGTTTTCCATTCATGAACGCCTTCCTCCATTAAATTATTGTGTCAGGAATATTAGCCACGAGTGCCATAGTAGCTTTACTTAGATGATATTTACTCTGAGCTTAGAGTTTTCCGTGGAACCCAGTGAGTTTCTCTTCAGATAGTAGTTTGCTTTCAAGCCAATTTTCAAATGGCCTCTTCTTTTATACCCTTGACGACCTATTAATTTCTTACAATCAGATTGGTCCTCGGTTGTCAAAACCATCAGATTTAAATTTAATTGGGCTTTGGTATCTAGGGCCTGGTTTAAATTAATTGGCTAAATTCAAAAACCTGTTGTCTTGGTAAAAATGCTGCTTTGCCTGCTAACGGTACAGCCTTCTGATACAATATTTCAGTTTCAAGAACTCTTTGTGCATCTGCTGCTACCTGCAGACTTTTTTTTTAGTCTCCAAGCTTAGGAAAACACAATCTTTAAAAGAGACCACATACTCTTCTCCCCCATCATTTTACAAACATCATATCCTAACGCGTTGTCTTCCAATCCACAAACACTATATCGACTTTGCAACCTCAAGCAGCTGTCATTATTGGTAATTCTAATCAATGTTTGACAAACATGGTTAGTAACAGCAGTGCCATATTACCAACTGAGTAACATAATACTGAAAAAAATTGCAAGCATTTCAATGTATGTTAAAAAGTATTTTTATATTTTCTTATGCTTCCTTCATTTTTGCACTTTTATTAGAAGTGTTATAGTTTGCTTATTATTGTGCGGAACATTAAATATGCTATAGTTTACCATTTAGTCTGCTCCTTGAATAGCCTTTAATTAAGGTACAAATGTCATCTACAGACATCTCCATAACAACAATATTCAGTCTCTTGGAAGGAATTGCTTTGACGGACTCCACAGTTTGGAAACACTGTGAGTAACTTTGTAGATATTGCTAATGATTAGACCGGATTGATAAGGTTAAAGCTTATACTAGCTATAACGTAGTCCCAGTATACCTGGGGGAGACAAGTACTGAAGTGGTAACATTAAAATCAACAACTGGCAATGAAGGGCAGTTGCAGAGCTTTATTGTCATACCTAAGGAAGGACTTGGCTGTTTCCAGTGGATGAATGGGAGTGCACAACTGTTTTATAAATTTTTTAAAGCAAAATTTGCCTGCTGCATTTTATCAGACATCTCCGTACTGTGTTATGTAAATCTATCTCTGACACTCTTGGCTAAACCAGTGGGAAGTGTTAACAATGTTCTGATGGACTTGCTGGAATATACAATTCCTAACTGGGCACTTTTTATTTCCACGGTAACTTTCAAATTTCAAATCAGATTTGAATGCTCAGACATTTTTGGAGTAGAGGCTAATTTTATAAAAATACTTTAATATTAGTTATTCCCATGCTATAACTTTGGTTATTTCCCTCCATTATATTTTAATTTCATCCCATACATTTTGGTCAATTGGCAAATGCTTTGCAAATAAATAAGTGGAAGTTTCCAGATGGAACATTTGGAATGTTGATGAGCATAAGTTGCATTGCAATGCAGCAATAATATGGGACAGGAATGGTAGAAGTGCAGATATTCTTCATAATTATTCAAACAGAAGTGAAATATTTTACCTAATATTCTTTCACATGGTTATATTGATGCATTTGAATTCTAGTAGCATCTATGTAGAGGAAATAGTGTTGGCTTCTAAATTTTGAAACCTATATTAATATAGCTATAATTTAAAATAAATAAATTCCTATAAAAATAAAAATACATCTAAGTTTCTAGCTGTGTTTAGATGCATCTACCTGTGTTTAAAAAGCATAGAGGTCGGCAGCATTTTTAGAAGTAATTCATTGATGTGACCTTACTAAAATTGTTTCAGAAGGTTGTTTTGTTAGAGGCTAGCCAAGGGATATTAACTTATACTTGGATTTATGAAGCAAGTTAACGATAAATATAATGTTAATGAAGTTTCACATGTGAAAGACATTTGACATTCATGAAAGTAATGAAAGTGGCTGTCTGGTTTGAAAATTGTCTTTATTATAGTTCGCAAAAGGTGCTGACAAATGGACTAAGTCTGATATCTAGCGTAGCTATGTAGGGTTTGTTCCCTACAGTTTACATTATCTACAGATGACATGAATGTTAATATTTTCAGTGCTATTATTACATTTTTTGAGGGCACTAAGTTATGAAGCCAGGTGTTAATGGATTTATTGATAGCAGTGAAAAGGATCTGAATTACATGAAGAGCTATGGGGTAGTGAATGGATCCTTATGTCAAAGATTTACAGTAATGTACATCAGCAGATGAAATATATAAGTACTTAGCCATGGTAAAGCTGTTATCAATGGGACTAATTGAAATCTGGGATGCATGTCAAATGCTTTTGATTAGAACATTGTGTACTTTGGACACCTTTACTTCAAAGACACACTGATGCATTCAGCAGGGTTCTGAATAGATGCTAAAGTATGAATAGATACTCACAGATTTTAATATGTTTTCATTGGAGAAGCCTAAGAAGGGAGGTGATCCTAATCTTTAAAATACTGAAAGCAAAGGTAATGTTTATTTAGTTTGAAATTTGAATGAAGAAGTAACCTCAAATATAGCTGAATGTAAAAAGAAAATGAAATTCCTCTTCCCACAGTATAATAGGTAATTGGAATTGATTCACATAAAAAAGTCAATGTAGTGTTGATTAATTCCTTTTAAAGAAGGAAATTGGGCACAGTTGTTTGGACATTGACCTTTCATCTTCTGGATTTGTGTAGTTGGTTAAAAGCCTTGTCTATCTACTGTCTATAAGTTTTTGATTCATTCATTCATATGTACAATGCTGGCAAGGCCCGTATTTATTGCCTAACTCCCCCACTAAACACCATGTGGACATCCCTCCTCACTGCCTCCTGGATGTCATTGCACATCTCAGCTTCAACAAATGTCCCTGGCAACTCCCCATACCTGCGAAGTTCTATCTATTGGTCACCATTAATGGATTAGCAGCTCAAAGATCAGATTCCCTTTGGCTATAAACTCCCCAAGGCATCAGTAGTTCAGCAATCTAATAGAAGTAATTCCTAAGGCTCAGTTTCTTCTGGGCTCAATCTTACCCATTGCAGTGTGGTGATCACTCAGAGATTTAGAGTTTTCACTTATTGACAAATTATATATTATAAATGAAACTAATGACAGCAAAAATAACACTGAATATGTTTGTCATTCAATAGCAGTAGGAAATTTCAGTAAATGGATCTGCAGGCAGCTTAATCAAAGGCTTATAGTAGAAAACTTGAGTAACTGTCAGTTCCCTGAAATACATAGTGTTGATTTTTGTCTTCTCAATTTTTTTTGCTTATTAATGCCAGTAATTTAGAGATCGTGATTAAAAATGGAAAGGCAAAGTTGTGATGGAACAAACTGAATGGTATATCAGCAGCAAATTGGAAGAAATTTGTGGTTTCACTGTTTTGGCAGCATTGAGGAATACGTGTTAAAATGTTTTATTATAATTGGGAATGAGGTTATAAAGAGCTCAGTTCAGATAATCTCTTCTTAGGTTGGGATAACTTTGAATATACAATGACAAAAATTCCAGACAGACATGAATGCCTTTGCAGAATGTTAGCACTTGATAATAACAATGAGCTTGCCTTTGATCTCAGCAACAGTGTTTTAAATTATTTGGCTGGTCCTGTCTAATTATCTGTTCAAATGAGAACTGACAAGCATTGATATTTCTGTTTTGTTTGAATGATCTGAAAATGAAGAGGGAGATTTGTTTTGAGCAGGTACGAATTTATGATTTTTTTTAACTCGCAAAGTGCATTGTTTTTTCTTTCAAATTGTCTTTCCAAATGGTATTTCTTTCGGTCAAAGCACTTTACTAGAAAAATCATATTGGCCCAGTTTGCCAATGGCCAGAAAATCACTGTTTCATTATAGATGGGAGTTGTGCGTGAGGATACTTTGGAATCCCATTGGAGCAGGCTCCAAAGGAATTGCCAGAAAAATTGAAGATTCCTCTGGGCAATTTCTCCATGCATGGACTCTTCCATTTAAACAGAGAATTTAAAGGGTTCCATTGACATTAAATACTTAGTAACTCAGGAAAAGTTGGGCTATTAAATACAAAGCCAAACTCCTGAGTAACAATTTGATAGACCCCAACACTCCCTCATCACCAGGACAACTCCATTTCCACACTCCTGACCCTACCCGCTTTTCCCTTGCTGCATACCTGACTCTACTTTGCCTTGCTCCGGACCAGACCTTCCTTCCTCCTAGGGACAGATCTCCCTTCTCCTGTTCCGGAATGTGTGGGATCAATCACCATATTGATTACCTGCTCTGCAACCAAACCCCTTCACATTCCATGATCCAATTCTCCTTTCCCACTAAGGACCAAGTAAGAATGAACTCCTTCACCACCCTACCCCACCCCCAGTTCACCCAATCCCAAGACATGATCCGTGTTTATCACACTCAGCACCTGACAATTTGCCCCTGATTGATATCCAAATCCCCTTTACCCCCACTTCTTCTCCCCTCCACACACAATCCGTCTCTCCATGCCACTGGACACACTAGCCCCTTCCTCTGCACCACAACCTGCCTCACTGACAGATCTGCAGCTCCCCATCCTGCCACCGTCACACTCAATAACCACCCTCTCTGCCTCCCTGCAGAACCTGATATCTACCATCCACATTAACCTCCCTTAACCATGTATCTCTTACCTTGCACCCAGGCACCCTACTGACATTGCACCTAGTCCCTGATACAGTTCCGCGGCATCATAGGAACAGGAAGGCTGACGTTTCGGGTCTAGGCCCGAAACGTCAGCCTTCCTGCTCCTATGATGCTGCTTGGCCTGCTGTGTTCATCCAGCTCTACATCTTGTTATCTCAGATTTTCCAGCATCTGCAGTTCCTACTCTCCCTGATACAGTTCCCACTGGCACACTACTTCCCTGCCAACATGTCACCTTACCCAGCTAAAATCAGACTTATGCACATTTGACATCAGCTGTCAAAGTGGGTGTCAGGGCCTTTAAATTTCAGAATACGGCAGCTGACTATTGTGAAAAGTAGACACGGTTTGCCTTTCCGCATTGGTTCTGCATTATGACAGACCAGTCAGAATGGAATTACGTCTCCACATTTCTGAAGGAGGCCTGATCAGGATCTCCTCTCAGAAGGCAGAAGTGCTTCTTTTCATCAAAACTAGGGATGAATCTTACCAATTACCCCTGCATCATCTTGCACTTTTAGATTCAAAGGCTTTCAAAATTCAGCAGAAAGTTGGGCAACAACCATTTAATTGCAATGGCAGCTCCTTACCCCAGAAATGCAGATCCTGCCAAGAGACTGATCAAGCACAGGAGCTTGCTAGCTTTGTACAGCATCCAGACCCGAAAAGTCAGCTTTCCTGCTCCTCTGATGCTGCCTGGCCTGCTGTGTTCATCCAGCTCTACACCTTATTATCTCAGATTCTCCAGCATCGGCAGTTCCTACTATCTCTAGCTTTGTACCTGCTTTGTGCATTGTTCCAGAGGAATCAGAGAGACTCGGTGGCACCTGAGGTGTCAACATTACTGAGCCCTCAATCTTAGTACCTCCCCTTCCTTCCAGGATTTCTCATACATCCTCCTCACATGGTTTATGACCTGCTCTCCTCGGCCAGCCCTTCAATTTAATTTGCCACTGAATATCAGCATCAATTTCCATCACGTCCACCAATGTCATTGGTGTGCAGACTGCCCAAAGTAGAAAGATTATTAATGATGCTATATCACAATTTGGGATTCTTATGTATAATAAGCCGGGGATGAACTTTCGTTCCCCCTTGGTAGAGTATTTGAAGGAAGACACATAAAATCAAATGGGTGGCTCATCCACTGACCCTCCC